GTTCGCTTAGCCAAGAACAACGCAAGAAGATCATGCAGGCTGGCTCTCGTGATGGCGCTGTGCTAAAGCATGCTGAAGATACGAGCCTAGAGAATGTCTACAAGTTCATCCCTGAATGGAATATTCGCGACATTACTGCCCCTTCATCAAATTTCTTCCTCGATATGCTAAAGCACCGGGCAACCCTGCCACTCAAAGACCAATACGCGACAGGGTTCAATGGACGTCCAGGCGATCACGCGCATATAGTTGATATGATGCAGAGGAAGAACCTACGGCTCCAAGACGCCGCCCAATTCAAGAACTGTTACACGCTTTTCTTGACGGAGGATGGCTACGGCGAATCGGTCCAGATCCTCGCAGAAAAGCGGGAAGAGGTTTTGGCAAACATGAAGCCGGCCATACAAGCTCAAGTCATAGTACCCCAAGCTACTGGCGAGCTAATTCTCATGCGACAGGTGAATCTGATGCAGCTACTCAACATCAGCATTGAAGACATTCTCGATACCGCGTCTACCACGCGAACCCAGACGAAGCGCCCGAAGAAGCCAGCCGACGAGGCGACTGCAGCTCTAGCAAAGTTATCCGTACACTCGGCTCCGAAGAAGGCCGAACTCTCAGACCTCGCTGACATGGCTCGCGATCAGGTGTCGTCGCGTGAAGATCTCATTAGTCTGATCTCCACTGAGCCTACCCTTCTAGCCCATGAAGTCAACTTTTGCTTCTTCAGTAGGCCGGAACTTGTCGCCGACGAGAAGGGCCGTATGTTACCTGTACATACAGATAAATACATCAGCGGCGCTGTATTCGATGCCGTCCAGAACGCGGTAAAGATCGCTGCCACATGGAACTACATTGGCCGTCTCATGGATTTGCTGAAGGAGTCATCAGACAAACAGTTTCGAGCGACTATCCTCAAGGAGCTGTCGAACACTTGCCACCTGGAGTATCTGCGCGCTCAGAATGGATTCAAACGTAGTGTGGCCGTCGGCATGGGAGGCGGCAAGTGGTTCAAGCGCATGTCGACCGTACAGAAGGACGACGTTCCGCGCATCTTGCTGAAACGAAGCCCCGAGTCTTTAACAGTAGAGAACCCGCAGTTACACTACATGCTTCGACTCTGCCAGGAGGATACAAATTGGTCCGGGGCTGCGCAGTGGCTTCAGAAGCTAGAAGATCTCCATCGAGCCCATCCGCTAGAGCGAGACAATCTCTCGGAACGAGAATATGACTGTCTCGGAGACCTGGCCATCATCGTCACCTTCGTCCAATCTCTTTCGTTAGTCGCGCAATTACCCGCACCGAACCACAAGAAAAGCCAGCCATTCGTACCGGGCTACACAGCTTTGGACAAGGAGCTGAGGTCGTGGAAAGACGGTATAGACCTCGGCGAGTACGCCATTCCGATCGACAACTTGCTGGAGCCAGGCATGGCTGAAGGCGCTCTTGCAGCACTAGATCAATATGTCGTTGAGAAGGCGGGTACGAAGCTTGGATTTCTGTATCAGGATCTAGTCGAAAACTGCGCGTCTAGCATCCAGCAACAGTACGAGCAGCAAAAGGCAAAAGCTAGTCAAGGCCAACCCGAATACAAGGCCCCGTCAGCTCCCGAGACCCCAGCATCGAACATCGAGCAGCGCAAGCAGAAGGAGAAGACACGGCCGGCGCAAACCCCCATCTACGACATAACGCCACAAGCCACCACGAATGACCAGCCCGCTTCGTCAAAGGAGACATTCTACGTCAAAGCCTCCACTGCCGCCGTCTTCTCGTCGCTGTTCTCAAGATCGTCAGCAGCTCATAGCCCAGTACGTTGGGACGCATTCGTAGCTGCCATGACAGACTTCGGCTTTACGATTGATCCCAAAGTCGGCTCAATTTTCACATTCGTTCCTCCCGAGAAGGTGTCGGTGCGGAGGGACATAACGCTTCATCGGCCGCACCAGGCGAGTATCGAGGGGCGACGTCTTTTCATCTACTCCCGGCGCTTGAAGAAGGTGTATGGCTGGGATAGCTCCACGTTCGTTGCGGAGTAGGCGTAGTTGATGTTGTGTAGATAGGTATGTAAGCGCTGAGCTTTGCTCATAAGACGACATGATTGCGACCTGGGAGCGCGATTCCATCAAAACCTTTCAATATGCAAGAATCCGATGTCTGGTTGGGGTTGCGCACCCTTCGAAAGCTCATTGCGCAAATGAGATGCTATCCTGGATGTGATCTAAGTTCACCTCAGATACGTACAAACTGAACAGGTCTGCAGAGTACATTGTGATGAGACAAGTAGATTTGAAAATAAGATCTTAATGTAGGCTCCAAGGTGTTCAGTTTCTGCCTTGATTGACGTGAACCCATGGCAATGCTTTGGCGCGCCGACCGTCTTGTTGTCGCGCCAGACGAGGGCGCCAAATTTGGGGGGCTGGAACGGCGAATTTCAAGGATCAGCAGGGCTCCTGCCGCCGGCCCGCACCCGCACCTGCTTCTCTCCTCAAACACCACATTGCGATCGCGATGGACTCGTATGACGCGACACACCAGCGAGAGCATTATTCGCAGGCCTAAGACTATAGGCATTCACGAGCCCCCCATTCAGGCAGACGTTTGCTATGTACCGAGCCTCAATTTGGACGGGAGTGGGATCCGTGTTCGGCTTTCTACGCCAGGAAGCCACGTCGGAAAGCAAGCCACGCCTGAGGCTCGCAGTCTAGCCCACAGGTATGGCGTCAACCCGGGTCAATCATTCGCTGGGCAAGACATCCAGGCGCGGGGTGCATTTCCAGCTGAGTGAATGTTTATGCGCAAGCTCCTCAAGGCAACATTGAGGCGCAGCGGTTGAGGCGCCTTTACATATAGCTAGCCACGAAGGCCGGAAACGCGATGTACAATACTACTGCTTCCCCTCCCTTTTTACCTGAAATTGTACTATAAAGAATCATGGCCGCTCCTCCGTTGACCGAGAAGCAAGTGTACCTGGCGCTCAAGGACATTTTCAGCATTGGTCCAACACCGCCTAGCACTGCGAAAAAGATTCGCAAGAATATTGAGAAGTATAGATATGACGCCAAGGTTGCGCCTCTGGTTCAAAGATATGGAGTGGAAGGTATTACCGCGGTAGCCTTCGCTCTGTCAGGAAACCAGATCTTTGCTTCAACCGAGAAAGCGAAAACACGCTTTCCTGATGTCTTTGGGGGCCTTTCGAATGAGCCCAGTCCAGTAAATGCCCCCGTGTTCCAGACTGGAACGGACAGCGTAGCGGCTGTGCAGCCAGCAGTTACCGAGTCCAGCACTGCAGCAAGTAGTGCAGCAGCTATGCAGCCCGTAGGAGGGGTATATAGTCCCGAGGAACTCATGGGTATCGGTGACAGGCTTAAAGCCAGGAAGGAGAGAGAGAAGATTGAGAATGGTATGTGGCATCAACGTATTCTCAAGCCGTGCTGAAAAAAAAAGTTCAAGCAGCCTCGCACACGCAGTCGTTCGATTCCGTAGCCATACCACTCTGGGACCAGCATCGCATCCTCGTCAGAGTACAATACACTCTTGAAAAGGCCTGCTTCGACTTTGCGCAGGAGAGGCTGATTGGGCTTTTACATCGTGAAGGTTGGGACTGCGCAGAGGCAGTCGAACTCAATCAATGGGCCAGAACATTGCTCATCTACCGAGAAGAACTCAAATTGGACGACATGAAAGACGATGTAAAGCCTTTGCCCGGTCTCATGGAATCGATTATCCAGCTCCGACATAACGCTGTTCACCGAGTTCGCCTGGCTTCCAGTGAACTCTTACAGCACCTTACCGATGCTGTACTTCTTGCGCAGCTCTTACATGACGACAAATGCGGCAAATTTCTCTCAAATATACGACAGAGAACCCATAATGCTATCGAAGAGCTTGTACGCAACAAACAGTTACTAGACGGGAGATTAGCAGATATCAAGAGAGAGTTTGCGGCAAAGAGAGCTGAGCTTGAGCGCCAAGAAGCTGCGTTACTGGAGGCTGCGGTAAAAGAGCACAAAACACCTATGGTCTCTGTCAGCGGAAGTTTGCACCGGCTGTCGGACGACCATGGTGGTACTACTGAGGAAGTACATGCGCCATGGCTACGTGTGTACGATGCCGATCTACCTGATAATGGTTCTTCTGGTACTGAAGATACTACCAGCCAAAGTCCGGAGAATGAGGCCATCAAAGTAATCGAGGACGATGCAGACGTTATCAGCCCACCGCCCATGCATCTTGGACCCACATCACCAGTCGATGATGTCTTGCTCGAATCAGTCGTCCAACCCAAGCATCAAGAAGTCGATAATGATGAGGACAACGATCTATCAATAATGGAGACGATGCCTATAGAGGAGTCAAAGCTCGACGACCACGAGAGCAACCAGGAGCACTCCCTAGACCCTCCACCACTCGACCAAGATGATACAGCGACAGACACTGAGGAAGCAACGGAAGGGCATGGAAACAGTCTGGAAAAAGCGCATGCATCCGATTGGGAAGACTCCAATTTCCAGGACATTGATGAAGAGGTCTTCTATGAGCCAAGTACCAGTCTCGCGTCTGCTTGCGTAGACGAAGCTGTAAGTGACGCATTAGAAGCACATCAAGAATCACCTAGCGACGACCAAATACGAGTCATAGCATGGGATCCGAATGGCAGCGAAAGAAAGAGACAGCGCATAAGGTATCGCTTATCAGAGCAATTCGACGCTCTCATCACCAAACCATCCTGACGAGGAAGATCGCTAGAGCACCATAGACAGCGTCCCACCTCTTAGCTCTGAGTCAATAGTCAATGAAATCTTGCATGCTATCAATAATCAGCACTGAAGTGAGTGGATAGTTTCGCCTCAAGAGAGTCGACACGTACGCAACGATAAGAGCCACTAGGGCGCTTACTCGATGAAATATACAGTGATCACCAAGCTCAGAATTTAAATTGTCAAACAAACTTCGTTTCACCGCATTACATGCCCTCATGCACTCCTCCTCCACCAACTGAATCAATCCACTACGGAATCGATCCTTGTCTTCTTCCCCTCCTCCTTCTCAGCCTTCTTGGCTTCTTTTTTCGCCTTGCCCTCCGCCAATTTCTCCTTGGTCTTGGCCAAAGCGGACTTTGCGGTACTCCCCACCTTGGATTTGACCTTGTGGGAAAACTTGTCCTTCTTTTTGGCGTCCAAGTCTTCCCATGTTGTCATTCTCTCTGGTGGGAGAATGTCATCGAAGGTGTGGGCTGCGTTTACACTGTTAAGGCGCGGCCTGTTCGAGCACAGATAAGTGGTGGTGTTTTTGGCAGAGGACATTGCTGTGACGTGCGTGTGATGTGGTGTTTGTGATGGTCTGCGGGTATATAGGACTCGAGAGTCGAACATTATATAAGTATGTCAGTCTGCCTCGAGCAGTCCACTGTGAGCGAACATGTTGATTTGAGTATATACGAATGAGATTGAAGTGCATTGTGAGTGATAGCGGTCGAAAGCATGCGCTAAATAGTTATAGTTGACGATGTAAGACACTACGTTGCATTGTTTGGAACAGCCCATACTGTCTGACTCGGGAAAGACATGTTTAAGACGACACTGCAGTCGTGGACAGTGTTGTCTCGGAAACTAGATGCTTGACCAGCCGAACTAGTCCATTGTATTCCAGCTTCTAGTCGCAATCGGTATGAGATGACTAGTCTCGAGCTGCACAGAGCTGTGACTTCACACAGAACTGGCACCCCAATTTTCTGCCATGTCGCTTCTCGAACGTCTAGTGCGTGATTGCAAACTACCGCAGTTGGTATACATCCAATCCGCTAGTTCCTCGCCCATTCGTTCTCGACACTAGGCTGCTGGTCGCGCTCAACATGTCCTGGCAGCGCGCCATCGAGGCGGCGATTGCCCTCCTCAATAGCACGGACTGAGTCCTGGCTGTCTTCTTCCGTCTCTTCCTCGATGCGGTCGGAGTAACGGCTGCTGTTGTATCCGCCGGGCATGTAATCGATGGCTCGTCGAGGCTCGGTGTCGCCGTTGCGCTCGTCGGCGATCATGCGGGAGATACGGTCCGGCGCAATACGATGCAGCCAGGACTCCTTCTGGGTGGGAATAGCGATGATGAGGATCTAGGGGGTCGAATTAGCATTGGCGTCTCGGAGCGCTGTAACCCCACTACGTACCTGCCAGATGAAAACCATGCCCACAACGGACATGAGCATGCCGGCAACTACCTGCTCCTCAGCCTTCCAAAATGTAAAGCAGCCATCAGCTCTGCCAGCATACGTGATCTGGCATGCGTCGGCTTTGTGTGTCTTGTCTGGGAAAGGCCATGCCATGTCGCGCGCGTTGGCTAGGCCACAGCACTCAAAGGCATCCTGGATCTGTCGGATGGCACTCGCATCCTTGTGCTTGAACAACGTCTGCCAGCGCTCGCGCAATCCGCAGTCTAATCCAGAAGGCGGCGCGGCATGAGTGCCGACGAGGGTAATGACGACCGACGAGTAGATGAAGATGAGCGTGTTCGCGATGATTACGAGTGGCGGGCGCTGGATCTCGCCGCGGCCCAGATGCTTGCGACGCTCCTGCCGACGCGTGAAGTCATAGCCGCACTCGAGCAGGAGGCCTGAGACGATGGGTAGAGCCGTAGTGAAGCCGGTCAACGTGTCGGAGATGGGCACAGAACGAGCGTTCGCGCGGGAGGCAGCCCACCTAGACGTGTTAGCGCGCTTCTAGCATCGTCGGTTACGATGGGAGTTCACCCTGCGAGCGCGGTTGCGATGACGAGATACTGGATATTGTTAGAACGGGCACGTGAAAGCTCGCACCGCATGAGACCCTACTAGCACGCTGATGCAAGTCACGACCTGCTTCCTGGTGTACGTCATTTTGCTGATGGTGACTCGGAGTCAGGCAGCCTAGTCGATGCTAGAGGCGGCTAGGTAGAGTAGTAGCAAAAGCGAAAGAAGCCGTCGTAGGCAATGTCGCAGAGGCGATGGCAGACAGGCAGACCTGCAGCGGGAGATGAGAGGAACTTTGGTGCTGTATAGCTTTGGCTTCTCCGCATCCCAAGCAGGCGGTAGGTTACCGCCGTACAAGGGTGCCGAGGACCTTCTGCATCTATCTCAGCGCAGAAGATGATTACTGCTCAGTTGATGCCTATCTTTGCTGGGCGTCGCCGTGAAACGTGCAAAGCCTGAGCATGCCCTCATCGGTGAGACGCAGGCCACGGCAAGGGCAGTCCGCGGAGGACAAGGCAGCTGAAAGCGACATGGCAGGGCTCTGACTACCCGGTGACGCATCAAAGGACACGCACGCTTGCATCTGCGATGGGCTGCATCAGGCGGCTGCACACAGACGGCGTATCACCCTGGCCATGTGGTAGAGGCAGTCAATGGTGGTGTGAAGGAGTCGGGGACAGGAAGGGGCGTCTCACGCGTGATTGGGCTAGAGGCTAGCGTTACCGTTGGCGGCTTCTGCGCCGGTTGATGTGAGTTCTCGATCTCTCGATCCAAACTTTTTCCATAGCGACGTCATGCCTCATCTACAATCGCACAATGCCTGAGCGGGGTAATATTCACCTCCTCGCAAAGCACCCACGAGTGTGAGGCAGCAGCAGCGCGTCTTCTCGTCAAAGGTCAGCGTGCTCCCAGCTCGTGTGACCACGGGAAGTGGCTTGCCAGTGTGTTGTCTGCAAAACAAACGCGTTTGTCCACACGATCACCGTCGCCCGTATGCTAACATCATTGGGCCCCAGTGCCTAGTGCCCTTCCCGTCCTGCAAAAGCGGGGATTAACTGTTTATACACACGACTAACAATGGGTGAAAGTCAGCCTTAATCCGCGGTGCCGCCAGCGCTTTGCTTTCCTTCGTTTTCCCAATCTCGTCCTCACCTCAGCCTCGTCGTGCAACACATTCACTGTCCGACATGCTGCTGTTTTCACCGCAACGATGCGACGCTCTCCTCAATCAGTCAGCAAAACAAACGGGCTCCATGTTTAGGCGTTTCTCCGTTCCGCTCTGGCCAGCCAGCCAACCCTCCATCCAACTCTCACCACGCGCACCCAAGCAGCAACAGCAACCCGCCCGTCCCTCACCACCAAGAAGAGGACAACCACCAGCAAAAGAAAATACTACCACCCAAATGTCACATCAACCCGGCACTCCCCGCTCAGCGGCCTTCTCTCCCACGCTTGGAAGCATTCCAGAAGTCTTCGAGTATGAACCTCTCGACGCCCAATTTGGTCCTGCTTCACTTAACGATGCGCCCGAGACCCCAGCGGCTTTCTTACCCGAGGTTTCCGACCTGAGTCCGCCGACGCTGACCCGAGCGACGTCGTGGCCCGCCATAATCCAGTCACCATCCCGGAGGGTCGCCTCACCTTTTGCTGTCTCCAAGGCGCTGCGCAAAATCCTGGAAGCCGATCGAGTCCGACGGAGGCGCATTATGAAAGTCTACCTGAAAGCTATCGTTTTCCTAAAGTACCTCTGGCGCGCCAACGAGCGCTATGGCAATGTCATGGTCACCACCGGCATGTACATGCAACGATGACCGACGCAAGCAAAAGTTGGGATCTTCAGGCGTTTTAGCATGGGAATGGCGCAAAATGACACGACACGATTGTATTATGACTTTATGGGTTGCGACATAGCGATTGCATTGCCTGGAGGGATGCATAGCCGCTGGCGTTTGGCATTGGAAAGGCGTTTTTATTCCCAGGTGAACATTGCTACTATTATGAGCTCGACTGGTATTAGCCAGCTTCTGGATCTTTTGATCGAGCACTGTGGATACAGTACTATACCAAATGAGACTGTGTCAAAAGAGCTCGCCTGTGCTTTTCGTTTCTTCACGCTGTCTGACACTATTCACTTACTCTCCAGCGATAACGTCCATTCACGATACAGTGGTTACATCACATACTCCAAAGCGCCATAATGTTCCGCCGCCCCCACACAGACTCGACCGGCTCGTTAGTAACGATTCCGAAAGACCTTTGCCAGATCGGTTGTACGAATGAAGGCGCAGGCACCTGGCTCAACGACGCTCTGTTTCACCCCGAGCGACAACCTCCGACGCACCTTAGTCCCGTGAGACTTTGGGAAAGTCCTACGACATCTGAACGCAGAGCAAATAGCAATCGACTGGTCACACCATCTCCCTGAGTCCAACTTATAGACACGCAAGATGTCTTACTTAGGCGTCTTTGGCACTTCGCTCGCAACGTCTGGATACACGGCCGACCAAAATTCATCATCATCATCAAGTCGTTCAATATCCCCTTCTAGTAACCGAACGCGTGCAAGCTCCTTCTCGACAACCACGACTTCCAGCACTTCACCGAAGAAACGCACGAAGACCATCGTGCACCCTCCATGTATACCTGTATGCAATAATGGCGCTCCAATACAACTGCCTGTTACCCAAGAACGTTCATCAAAACCTAGACGACCGACATTAGAAACAACGTGTTCTGCTTCGTCGTCGGATGAGAGGCCATCAGTGTCGGCGTCGGTGTCGACGTCGGCATCAACCATACCTAAGCTAAGACCTTTGCGTCCCGGGGAACAATACGCAGGAAATATTGGCCGGTTAGATGAAAGCACGGTAACGGTCGAGGTTGAAGTCTCAAGCGAAGCTGCTAGGAAAGCTGAGAGATCGATCTGGTACATACCGAGACATTAGGGTAGTCGAACCAGGATAGATTGGCGTGGATATAATTTAGTCATGAGTGAAGCGGGGAACAACCTCATGCTCATACACGTTACCCTAGCAAAATGCTAAACAGGTCTGCAGCCTACATTGATTTGAATACATGCTAAATCGGGCGATCTAACGGCGATGTAGGCTCCAGGCCTGTTCAATTATCTCTTTTGTATAGGCGCATAGCTGAGTAACGTTATCTAACGTCGGCTTATTCTTACCAACATCGACGTCAAAACCCAGAGTCTCTCAATCTCTCCTTCCAGAATTGCAACCTTGCCACATCGCAAACATCGCCCCCTCCTCTTTCCACCCAGAGGTCACCCCCAGGTATCGACTCCGCACCCGCCTCACACATTTCCTCTATATCTTTCCCCGCGATCAAAAGCCACTGTGCAGCCGCCGGTACATGCATGGCTGTATTCTTGCCCAGCCTTGTACCAGGCGAATATTCCAGGGCCATGGCTAAAGTCACACGAGACAGTCTGGTATAGTCTGCGAGAGCTGGTGTAGTTTGGGCGTCAGGATCATGTGCGGTAAGTGCTAGGAGAGTGTTGAAGTCTTTCCATTTTCTGGTTGCAACTTCAGGGGTTGCTGGGTTCCGGATACTGTGAGTCCATAG